CCCAAATATCTCTCTGGCTGCTACACTGAAAATCTTGCTGCAATCAAAATATCTTCCCTCAATATAATTTTGTTTTCTCTTTTGTAACTGCATTATAAAAATGTGAGTTATGCATGAAGAAGTCACAAAGTGGCATATATATATATATGCAGATTTATAAATGCTATTTATTTAATATTTCACCAATTCAAATATACTTGATGAAAATGAAAACCTCACTATGCTATAGAGCTGTACGCACTAAAAAATTTAAGATGCAATTATAAGAATTTCAGCAGTGTAAACACCAGGACAAGTTAACCCTATAACAAGAGGAAAGACCAAAAAGATATTCCTCCATTTTTTATCAAATACCCTCAAATTCTAAATGCTAATAAGAAAAAACAATATGTTTTTCTATTCAACTCCACACTACTCCTTACGTATTTTTGTACAAAAGCAGTTGCAACCTGAGTGACTCAGATGTGGAATTCAGCATCCAAGTGGCAAAGTCAGAGAACCTCTCCCACAGCAGGTCTGCAACTATTTAATGATTTACAGTAAAATCTACCACTCTAATTTCAACCTGAGAAGGACCAGGCAGTCAGTGTAGGCAATGGACCTCCTAACACACTTTGGAGATAGGCTGTTTAAAAAGATGATGGAATTCTGCACCAAGTCTTGTCTTCCAAAGGACCTGAGATGGAGCAGCGCTTTGGATTTCACGGAAGTGGCTACCCCATAGATGATCACGGCTCAGCTGACATTGACAAGTGTGGAGAGGTAGAAGAGGATTCATACATCCAAACAGTTGGTGGTAACAACCCCACATTTGCACTGCCCTCACTGCATTTTTATTCAGGCTTGCTGCAGTGTCTTCCCATGGACTAAATGTTCTTTAATAATAGAAGTCCATTTCAGACATTCCTAGAGTACATCTTTCAGGATCACCCCAAAGAGTCAAGTTTATATGCTCTAAGACTACTGTGTAACATGGATTAAAACACGGCAATAAGATTGGATAAACAACTAGAACAACTGGAGATGGACTCCAAAAGTATTTTCCTGATCCAAACAACTGCAACACTAATGCTAACACAGATGTAACTAACGGTGAAATTGCCAATAGCAAAGCCCACATGTGAAAGAGAAGATTGGCCTTGGAGACACATAAGAATGAGAAAAGGTGCCATTTTGATTCTACCTAACTGTAGAGAGGGTGTCTGTCTAATAAATGAGGGAATTTCATAAGTAGCTATGAAAAAAATCAGATGTAATTTGATCCTGATGGAGTACTAGAAAAGACGTTGGAATTAAGTTATTATTTTCTATCTTATTTTTAGGTTCTATAATTATACTCCTAAATATACTTATACTACTTCTTAAGTTGTGACAGAGATTTTTTTCTTCTGTAGGTCATAATAATAGTCCCTAGTGCAAAAATGAGTCTTATTTCTCCTCCAAAGGGACCATAAAATTTCGTTTTCAATGGAAAAGAGAAGAACAGAGATTATCCCCCTTTCCTTCAGCTTACTGAAGGTAATAATACCAACAAAAATTAATTGTGAATGTGACTGTATTTCCTCTATGGAATGAGGGAATCATCTCAGATAAATTTAATCTTTCATGGCCTGCACATGAACAATTACTGCCTGAAAATAATTGTATGTGTCAGATGCTCTAAAAGGTTTGCAAGGTTCCTTTTTTTTTTACAATTCTGCAAGAAGTTTTACAGACTGAATTAAAAGGGTGCATGAGATTTAATAGACTGTTAGGTAAAAATATTCTAAAGACTATTTTTTATAGCTTCATGCTCACACTTTAATTATACATTCCATTCCAGTGTGAGAAGTCCGGACGGGGATGTTAAAGACTGTCTATAACTGAAACTCATTTTGTTTCAATAGAAAATAAGGTTCTGATTCAATAAACTCTGTTCTATGCAATTTTATATATGTGGATTTTCCCAGTTAACTCACAAGGATAATGAGTGCATTTATGTCCTCTAGTTCTCTGCCTGGGTAAGGAGCACTACATTTAGCTCCATAAATAAGTTAATTGTCTGAATGCAAAAATATATATTCCTAATCCAGGGAAGCAGAATTCATTAACTCATAACATATAAAGAGTGGAAAGTAGTGGTGATGCAATGGCAAAAGTAATCTGGGATGTTTCCAAGCAGACTTCGAAGTCTGCATGCTGATCAGCTTTCCAAGTCAGTAGTTAACATAATAGTTAGCAAGGAAATAAGTGAATGTGCCTTTAGTATTTAAAGTGGTGGTCTGTGCTTAGCAGAAACATCTCACCTTGTATAGACAATCTTGTGACAATCTTCCTAGGACAACTCTGATGTACAGGGCAGTGCTGGAAGCCAGAACTCTGCACAGGGGATGGGAAAGCAAGGGCCCATAGCAGAACCCACCTGATGATTGTGTCACATGAAGCCATTTAAAATAACTCATGAGAGACTATAAAAAATTAAAATGTGCTTAGAAGTGGTTCTTGTCATATGAGAAGTTTAAAAACCACTTGTACAGACCGAGTAACTGGATAACAAAGGGAAAAACAGATATCGTTTACTATGCAGATCTTTTGTTTCCCTCACAGTCCAGAAGAGATGCAAATATCCAAATATTGTACACCCAGAAAACAGCAGGGGTTTGCCCCTATCATCAATCATGAGTATAAATCAGGCTACCTGAGATTAGCACTGGTACAGGAATGGAATTTATGTTTCACAGTTACACAATTAAGCCTGTCAAAAGCTTTTTCTGTAAATGTTAATACATAGTGACAGATGACTAAAATGAAGGTATTTTGGAGTGCTCCAACTGCCTGAAGTCTTACATCACTGCCACACTATACTCACAACTGCAAGTGTATGTTACTTGTTTGCTCAAAGGGATGAGTTGTTGTTTTAGCACTGTTATTTGCTTCATAAGATTTCTCAGTGATTTTCACTGTAGCTTTATTTGTACATGGCTTTCAGTGGGGCATATTCAAGGTAATTTGGGTTTCAAATAAGTTTCAGTTCTGAAGGGATGTCTAAGCCAGGTTTGGTTTGTTGTGGGGTTTTTTAAATCTTTGACTGTAGACTACACTGAAAAACAAGATACACATCTAGTCTCACAATAATTATGTTGTTCTGTGTTTTTTAAAATGTATTTCTTGTTTTTAAAGGTGCCCAAGCAAATTGAATCAACTGGTTAGTCAATGGTGAAATGACACATTCTTTAACTCAGTAAACATTCAAAACCATCCTTGCAGAGGTTCACTGGAGCAGCAAGACTATTTATTTATTCGTTTAGATTTGAACCAGACTTAACTCATATCCTAGACAGCACACATATATTAGGAAAAAACAAACAAACAAAAAAACCCCCCAAAAATCTACACAAACTTTGAAGATCTTAGGAAATGAATGCCATTATTACAAAAACAGTAATGAAGTTTGAATCTACTGGCTGTTGTGATAAAATCTTCTCCTAAGCGATTAACAAATTAATTGTGGTTCATCCCTTAAAGTACCCTCATCTCTTTACTTACAAATTCTTTTTTGCTGCATGTACTTTTGTTTCACCCTTGTTTCAGTGTCAAGATTTCTGCCTTATTATGAAACAAAGTTGATTCCAAGAAGCTTTTATATTCCTCTCATCCAATGTGATACTTTCCTGTAAGGCCCAACTTTCATTTCCCAGGTGCCTTACATACCCTTATCATCAGAACAGCTTTCCTGATGTCACGAACTCCATCATAAACCAAGCGGGAGGCATCTATGAACTCATTCTCTTCAAATGGCTGTGGGACATTTGCACTCAAAGCTTCAATGGCAACTTCAACTTGTTCAGCAAAACGTGGCATAACTAGATTAAATAAAATGAAAGGCAGTAAGATTAGACATTTTCTTTCATGAACATTTTCCCCCTGCCCTTGGGCATAAATACTTTGCAGTAGACATGGTACATACTGTTGTTACAATTTCAAGACCCAGGAAGGCTCATGGCATGGGTTTGTACCAATTCTATACATGCAGAGCTCTGGCACACTTTCTGACAGGATGAAAATAGCCATCTTCATATTATCTCCTCCAACTGCACAACAAAGAATGTAATACTTCCTTTAAAAAATGTGATTTACTAACTTATAAAAGTCTGCAAGCTATCTGACTTATCAGTAAATTACATTTAAAACCTTAGAACTTGGAATGAACACAGTATGTATTTAAACCAAATGATCAAAGCAAAATGCAGCCATTATGCCTACTAATTTAGATAACTAAATGCAGTCTAGCTCATATTGAATAATAATAATTGTGTAAGAGACAAAACATGTTTGGAATGCAAAATCTAGGAAATTACTTCTATGAAGATACATAAACAGACATTGTTCCTTCACTATCATCATGTATATAACATAAAAAATACCATGCTAATGGTATTATAAACTGTTATGTCCTTTATGAATACATATCTTAAAGCAATTATTTACTTATGTAAATAGTTTAAAGACATTCCTTGAAGTAACTAGAGGCTTCAGATTTTATATAGGATTCTTTTGAAAGTATAATCATTTTCTACATATGCCATGTGCAGAAAGATCAATGTTCCCCAAATCAGTCCTCTAACAACTTAAATCCAAATCCTACGAACAGGAGCATGAACACCAGGTGCCACTAATAATAATGCACCTATACTTTCTTACTTAGTTACCCCTGTTCTTCAGCATTTTAACATTAATATTGGAGGACTGGGCTCTCATATACCATAAGACAAATAGAATCAATGCTTCATTAGAAACCAGGGTACAAAATCCACTGGGATTAATTCTTACAAATTTAAGGAACCTGAGTTAAGCTTAAGATTGATAGATAGATATTGTATTTACATATTTTTTGTTATTTGCCTCCTTCTAGCACCCAGGTGTCCAAATAATGTACCATTGGTTTTATTAATTTGGCACTAAAATTTGAAGAACAGGAAAAGATGTTTTCTAAATCAGACAGATTGGGGTTTTTTTTGTTATAATATTATCATTCTTTATCATCTTTTCCCTAGATGATATTTTTAAAACACTTCTTGGTAGTCTGACGAATACACAGAGTAATTCCCAATGTCATTTTCATCAAGAGCAGTGATAATCTTTCTAGGAAATAAACTGTCACTGAGGCAGGAAACCACATTTTTTTCTTGACTTAATGTTCTTAAATATATCTTACACCTAATAAAAACTATGTTCTATGCATCTTACTTAGTATCTGATTTTAAGTAAGAACACACAAAAAAATATTCAAGAATAGTTTACATTTTGAAGAACAACTGGCAGCAACTATGAGCTCAACCTTTCTGTTTCTGGAATTGAAGTAACACTGGATGTTAAAGGGGAACCCTTTAACAGATATTGTACATTATGCACATAATGTGCCATAACTGCTTGGTATATGTTGGAGAAAACAGGAAAAAGTGATGGCAACAATAGACTCAAAAATGTAAACATTCACAAAACATTGCTAGGTAGAAGGGAAACATTTTAAGTAGAAAAGGAGTTTGAAGCTTTGGAGACAGTGTTAATAAATGCATATATCAAATTATCTTAATGGAACACTTGAAAATATAGTAGGAGACTAGTACGATTACATAAGGAAGTCTGTAGACTGGCAGTCAAGAAGCAATCATTAAAAATACAATGAAAACAGGTTAACGTATAGAATAATAAAAAAAATATTTAGGGTCATAGGGATAAACCAAGTAAACCTAAAGATGCAAAAATGGCAACAGAAAGGAAGGCAAAGAACTGTAATGTTTAGGGTCCTTAAATTTCTATCTAGAATTTCCTAAACAGCAGAAGCGGTCAGGTATTTATCATAACTAAATGCAACAGAACTGTATTAGAAAAGGGCAGTTTGGAGAATATCTACATAAACATAAATGAATGTATCTCTTAAATATGGCTAAAGTTAACAGAGCATAGTAAAATTTACCTTGCAGTTCTTAGAAAAATAATCAAAGCAATTTCTGAACTAGCTTTGAAGAAGCAAGAAAAACAATAACAGTGAAAGTTCCAGGGATTTAGAAAAAGAAGAAAAAGCAAATAACTATTTTTATAAAGGTAGAGAAGAGAGAAGTATAGGATATTCTGACAGCCTAATTTCAGTACCCAGAATGAAAATGAAACATGATGTAAAACAATTAATGTTTAATTGTCTTGTAAATAATGTGCAGATGTCAGAGAGGCAACAGATTTGTTAAAATAGGTTGCATCAGGCTATTACAATATTTTTCCTGAAAGGGCAGCTAACTACTAGGTTGGAGGAAGCACTTGACTTTGGTTAAGCTTTTTGACATGGCCAAGCATGACACTCTTAGAAGCAAAACAAGGGAAATGCAAATTGAATTTCTGTAAGATGGACACGTAACTCATGAGAAAAAGCATCTCAAGGAATAATTACCAGTGGTACATTGTTAAACCAGAAAGACAAGTCAAATGGATTTTTGCAATGTGTCTAACAATTTGATGTTATTGTAAAAAATGGCAAAGGTCAATCTAGAATGATTACAACTCATAAAAAAAGACCTGAGACAAGATGCTGTGAAGTTGCACAGTAAGGCCCTAGTTGGAGTACTACGCCTGCTTTTTAAGTGCTCGACTGAGATTATTGTACCATGTGTACAAGAAAGAAGGTGACACGTTTTTAAAAAAAAAGCAACCATATTTTGTGGTTGTATCCTGACATATATTTCTATATTTTGGTAACATAACTTAGTCCAAATAACATGCATGCTTCTATACTCTTATCTAGAAGATATCTGAATCATGTTTAAAACATTCAAATAAAGGAATTTCTACCAACTCCTCAAGGAAGTTGTTCATAGCCTGATACAGTTCACTTCTTGGATGTTTTTCTCAAGAAAAAGAACATAAAGATTCTTACTTTTGTTGACCATTGCAATTAATTTCTCTTCTTGCAATATATATTATAATTTAAATATAGACCTAAACTTTTTATTTGGGCTACAATTATTGATTTCCTTTTTTTTTATGTGACCTATGAATATGAAAGCACACAGCAAAAGTGGGCAGGGATATATGCAGTATTTGTTATACGAGTCTGGTCACAAGCAGACCCTCTAAATCTGTAGTTTTAGGCACAGAGATCTACAAGGGACACACAGAAGTGAAACCAGAACTGCCCCCAGTGTCACGGAAATAGTTAAAGTATTTAATAGGCAGCTATAGGATCTTTGTTCAGCACCAGATCCTGCAAAATGTGCTACAATAAGAATCACTCCTCACCAGAAATAAACATTTAATTTCTGAGAAATGTTTTAAACCCACACATTACTTCACTAAAACAATGTTATTGGACTAAGAAACAGTTTGCTTGAAATGGATATACAAGAGGAACAAGTATGTAGAGATCAAAGAAGGGCTCAATTGTCAAAGGATGACGGACTCTCCAATATTTTTCTATATTCTCTCTGTATGAGATTTTTCCCCCTTCTACCTAAATTTTGAACTCCTTAATTTCAGCCAATGAAACCTTACATTAATAATCTTTCACATTAAAGTCCCACAGGTCATTTTTCTCAGTATGCCACCAGGAAGATGTCAGCAGTCATGACTCCATTCATTCAAGCAGCAGTAGGAATAGATTCATAAAGCATCAGGCCATGGGGAGGAGAAGGAAAGTTAAATTTTGGTTGTTTTGATGAACATGAGGTACTCATTTTTGAGCACATATATTAACATGGGGACTTCCCATTGGGTGTGAAAAGTTATTTTCACCTCACAGTCAGTGGGGCTACAGTTTAGTTCTTAGTTTACATTTCAACATTTGAACATTATCTACTGTTTCAAAATGGAAATAGCTATTAAATTATACTGTGAATTGCTTGCTTGTCAATTTCATTTTTACGTCAGTGCTCATTTTTGATTAGACAAGCAAGAAAAAACATCTTAAACTAACGAGATGCTATTACTTTTAGTTTCTCTAAGCATATGTTGCCATTCATGTTTTTGTAAATTAAGAACTGTATTATTCTCCAGTTAAGGTTATTGGACCACACTTGAGGAGCTCCATGACAGTGATGTAAAGAGAAATACCTAACTCAGTTCCACCCACAAAACCTCCATGCTTTTATTTCCATCATTTACTGTACAAAGAGGATATTCATATGCTGATAGTGAAATACCTACAAGTAACATTCAGGCCAAGGCATAAACACTGTACCTGGATTTAACATTTGTAAATGTATTAGATAGAGGATGATTCATTTATTATGTACAGGGATGTTGGCTATGGATTTCAGAATCAGAAGCAAATCAATAGTTTGAGGCAAAAATTAAATAGTGGTTTCTTAGTTTGAGCTGTGGTCTTGAAAACAGTTATGAACACACTTAGACTGAAAAATGTGATCCATTAACATCTCTGTCTAACTATGTGAATTAATTAGGCACCTGCACAAATGTTGACAGAATCAGGTCCCAAGTTAATAGCAACACTTCTAATTTACCGTCTTTGTCATTCTAACAAATAAAGATTTTAAAGCATTTCAGTAGATGAATTTTCAATGGCACTGAATGTAAGATCACTGCCAAAAAAATCTAGGCTGAACTGCTGCTGTAGAAAACCTAGGAAAAAAACAAGTTAAAATTAGATCCATTTCATCAATTGACAAATCTATTTATTTATTATTATCAGCATAATAGAAAACTAGCACATCACCATGGGTGAATCCATGCCTTCATACAACCTCTATTTTCTTGTGAACCACCCTGCTCTACATAGAATCTATTTCCTCTGCGGCTTTTCTTGTTTTTCTTCTACCCCACCTATATCTTCTACATATTAAAATTATCAATTCAT